TAAACAATACTACAGTATTTTTACAGTGCACATTTTGCTTCATATTGTAGCTCAAGCTTTTTTTGATACCAGGTAATTCTTGTATTTCTGTAGTTATTTAAACAAAAACATGGATGGTGGGAGGAATTAAAATTTTTTGTATTTATTTATTTATGTTAAGAAAAAACACTTTTTACCTGTCTTATAAAGAGGATGTTCTTGTTTGTCCTTTTTGTTTTTTGTTCTAAGTGACATTTTATTGTAAAAAAAAAAATCCAAATGTGATAGAGGAGTTTTTAGAACAGAGCTAGCCTTCTTTATCAACTGATTAAGGTTTTCTAAAGCATTTGTTCTGATGTTGTTGCCCCAACATGTGATGGTAGAAGAGATCACACTTTTTAAAACAGACAAATGTATGCAGCATCTTGCTTTAAACACTAATAAGCGCACACAAATCAGGTGATGCAAGTAGGTTTATGAATTTGTATATTATATATATTTGGACTTCTGTGCACTGTGCACCTCACTATCTGCTCAACACACTTTGTAATTTCAAAGGAGTTGTTGCAATTTCCAGTCACCCACAATTTCTTAAAAAATGAAAATTTGTGGATTGTGAAAAACTTAATGGTGAGGTAAATGTATTGATTAGACCTTGCACACAAGTGTCAATCTGTCACTGCACCTCACTGCAATCAAAGTAAAACAAAAAGTAATTCTTGGATGAGAAGCTGGAAGTTGTGGTTCCTAAATCATTCATATCTAAGGTTATTTTAAAATGCAGTTATTTTCATTTAACCAAGACATTTGTTTTAATGGAATATGGGACTCCTGTTGGATGATAACAAGAAATTATAAAATGAATGCAAATTTCTAAAAACAAGTCTGCTTTATTCACACAATGATTTAAAAAAAATTGAAATAGACATTTTGATAAAACATATTTCAAAAGTAGTTTGACAATTTTTCCCCATCACCCTAATGTTTAGCGCCCTCCACTGAATCTATTAAATTAAAGATAGGACACAGATGAGCATTCCTCCCTAAATAATATTCCTTGTTGGTAGATCAAATTGAAGAATAGTAATTGTTATTAATTATTTTTTCACTAGAGTAAGAATATTGTTTGTCTTTACCATTAGGCAGTTCAATTAGGATGTCACATTTTCTTTAGATGATATGTAACACACAACCTCCAGATCCCAACAGTCTGTTATTGAGCCTCAGTGACCATAGGGGTAATGTAAAGCAAAGGACACTGTGGTAATGATATGTCATTTCATGTCAGCTTTCTGCAGTAATGAACACTGGTGTTATCAGTGGGTTTATATATCACTCTACCTGTGGAAGTCAGCATCTTATCTCGCAGAGCCAGATGCAGGTGGCAGCTCCCTCAGATATAGGCAGTGTACAGCACACTGGAACAAAGAATGAGACACTAAAAAAGAAGTGAATGAAACAATCAGATGAGAAGCTCGTACATACAAAGCAATCAATATCGCTGCAAGCACAATCCCTGCACTCAAAGACATGTCGTCTCACAGCAGTAGAGTATAGAACAACCTCTGAAATGCAGCTTCATAAGGAAAAGATAAAAAGCTGTTTTTGTGCCCTCATCTATTTGTGACACAAATGCAATGTGTTATGCTTTGTTTTACAGATTTATACTTGACATTTGCCTTCTAAGTATATGCGTTGCTCTTTATGCTCTTAAAGAAATTCTCTTAAATTCTGACAGAGTTGGCATCAATGAATTATATCCATCTGCAATCATAAACTATTCATGAAAATATAATATACATTACTCTAAGAATAAAAATGCAAATCAGAGGAATACATTGAAGATCAGTATCTTTTTCACTTTTGTCCACTTGAAAGGTTGGTGGCAAATGCTTTGTTATTTTTTGATCTGTAGTTTTTAGGTGTTTGCATATATGTGTACATCCTATTTTTTATTATCTGTTGAGTATCAGCTTGTAGCTGCAGGCCTTAATTTCTCACTCTAACTAAAACCCTGACAAGAAGCCCGCATCCACTCCTGCCTCAGGCAACTTTACAAAAAATTTATTAAAGGTCTTTCTGTTTTAACTCCTATTTCTTCTCCAGTGCAAATGCATGTCCACAAGTGCATGTCCGAACAATGAGGGCCTAATCTTAAAGTTTAACGTGATCTCAGAAAGCTTGACATTTTTAAGTACACATGTTGCTAATTTAAACTGATTAAGGCAGTTTTAAAGCAAACAGTAAACGATTTGAATGATCGTCTCCTCCCTCATTCTCAGTCCCACTCACCATCCGGTGGCTTATTCCACCACCAGTGTCCGGGACCCAGGGGAAGGCTACACTAATCCTTTTCTACGTTACTTATCCAAGCATATGTTTATAAACAGCATCAAAGTCTTCTGACAGGGCATGAATGCCAAAAACTTATTTTTTTTTATTTCTCTATCTGCTTCTGTTTCCTTGAACCCCAGTTGGTCTCAGCATATGGCCGCTCACACTGAACCTGGTTCTGCTGGAGGTTTCTACCTGTTAAAATGGAGTTTTCCTCTCCACTGTCGCTACATTCATGCTCAGTGTGTGGGAGTGCAGAGAGTCAATGAGTCCTGGCAATCAGCTGGTTTTCCTTAGAAATATATTTGAAGAATATGATTGTGTTACCTGTATAAATAAATTGAATATTTGATTATTGCAGCTTTTCTCTGTACGAGTCTCTCCGGGTTGGAACATAATTCTGTTACTGATTCTGTTTTTTTCCTACCTCATTCTGTTAGTTTCTTTTACTTGGTCTTAGCTAGCTATATTTTTTGTTCTTTTAACTAGTTTACTAGTAGTTCATCCGACATTTATTGCCTTTTACATTTACCATACCAGATTTTGGGTTGGCGTTGTCAGATCCTGGTTTTGTTCTGTGCCCTTCATGTCCAGATTACCTTTCATTTTGGTTATCAGACTCCTTTTTTTGTAGAACCAGTCCATGAGGCTGACACCCTGTCTACATTTCAGATTGGACTGTGACGGACTGTATATGATATCTTTCTTTCCTTTTGACATGAAAATGGCTCTGAGCTCAAATGATTAACAGTTTCTTTATTAGACAGAGTTGCCTTTCTGGTTAGTTTACTGTTACCTTTTCTAACATAGATTTTTTTTTTAAATGGATTACTGCTTCTATGTTCTTTTTGTATGTCTACTTCTACATCCTTGAACCATCCTTGGCCCTCAGAAGGCATCTCACTGGGCCTGCTGGAGGATTCTTCCTGTTAAGAGGGTGTTTTTTCCTAGTGTGAGGGATTGCTGATAGTCAACAACACAATGCAAACGAATTTCTGCTGTTACTTATACAGGAGGAAGAAAACCTTAAAAAATAATGACCTGATTCATTTTTTATAGAACAAACTGAAGTTCCAATACAACATAAATAACCAGTCTGTAACTTCGCATAATATGGTAAATGGTAAAAGTAAGTACGTTAAAAAAAAGAAAAGGTTTATCAATATCCAACCAAAACACTGACTTTTAAATTATCTGGGATTTTAAGAAATAGCATCTCATTAGTTTGTGAGGTTATTACCTTGGATCTCATTTTTATAGAAGTTAAATTGAAATAAAAATATAGGTATGATTATTAAAATATTTGACACTGCAATCAAACTAAGATTAGTTTGAATGTATATCAGATTCTTCTGTCTGAACAATAGCTCTAATTATTTTAAAATTGTCACTTTAAAGCAATGACATATTTTAGAGGCGTTTTACATTTAACTCGGAAAATCAAATGATATTTCATTGTCAAATAAAATAGAGGCAGAGTCCCTCTATGAAAATGGAGAGATACGCCTTATCCTTCAACATTTTTAACACAGCATGAGAGCTTTTTATAATTGCCTACTTCTTTCACTTCTAAACAGCAAAAAAAGAGAGGAAAATCTATCTCCCTGACTCAGTTATAAAAAGGCTGTGACATTCTTCACATGCCCTTCACACATAGCTATTTATCTGATGGTGATAATGAATAAAACACCCAGATGTAGCAGTGTTGTATTACTTATATATTACAGGAAGCAGTAGTGTTTGAGAAGAGAAGAATGCTGCTTTGCCCAGAATGCCAAACGCACATAATCTTGGGGCTGCAGAGCGGCAGGAGCGTAGGAAGAGCTCTGGAAGGAATGTGGTAACTGTGATTAGTAGCCACTTTTAGAAAATACACCCTCATTATTTTCCCAAAGACATCTGTGAGCACTAATTCCCACTCTATTATGCTCTCTTGTTAGCACACATGTTAGTGAACATTATATATGACAGAACACAGTATTACATTTGAATCCTTTCGGACTTGGCACACAGGCATAATAGAAGTCTAACAGAAATTCTAAATACATAGAAAAAACACGTAGCTATATTTTATAGCACTTCATATTTTAGATTTTTGTCTTTTCAGATGTTACTTAAGAACATCAATTTTGCAATAAGATGTCCCAAATGAGCACTTTCTAGGACATCAGTATTGGACTAATTCTAAAGTCAGCCTCCTTTAACAATGACATATGGATATCATGAAATTACTTTAATAGATTTTTTCACTATTAGTTCTATTTTATGTTAGTTTAATGTGATTTGTCTGTTTATTATCTTTATATATTCACTGTCATCCTCATGTACTGATTAAACAGGAGTAAAACTCGAAAGATTGTAGATGTTAATAAGAACCATTTGGACACTGCTGCTGTTTTCTGCTCACATTCAAATGACAATCTCAACCTTTAGGACTGTAGATATATTTGTATATTTAATGATATATAAATGCGAGTGTTTAGGTATGATTTGAATACAAATCGATTAGGATACATAAAAAATATATATATATCTGGTTATGTGTAACTTTAAAACCTAATCTTTAGAATTCCTGTCAACCCCGAGGAATTCTCCAAGGTGCTGAAAAGTAAAGGAAACAATGGTGCACACCCGTCAGAGTCCAATTGGTACAACGTCACACGCACGAGACAAGCCCGAGCGAAGAAGGTAAATGAATTACAGATGAGATAGAGGAGGAGAGACAGAAAGCTGAGGATGTAGTCTGGCTGGATCCACAGCATAAAACCCGACAGAGATTAGTGCATCTCAGCCAAACAACTTCAGTGGTTTCATCTACTGCTTCGCGACGAAGAGATGCGTTAATCTAACACCCCCCTTCCTCGCTCCACGTTCTTGTCCTCCTCTGCCTCTTTCTCCCCCCATCTCTAACGAGGAGCATCCCGCGCACTGATATCTTTTCTTTTTTTTTTTTTTACTCCATCCTTTTGGCAATTTCAAGAGAACTGACAACAAGCCAGACACGATGCGTGGATATTCCCACTGTGGGACAGCCGTGGGATTTATGGTACTGCTGAACGCGTTGCTGACATTTACGACGCAAGCTACAGAAGGAGTCCTGACGGACCACCTTTTGGTTCAGCTGTATGAGGACGCGCAGGATGAGGCGCACCAAGTTGCAAAACAACATGGGTTCCAGAGTGCACGGAAGGTATTAGGGATGCTCAGACTAGAAAGTGTTATGCATGCATTTTTGTCATATATATATATATATATATATATATATATGTAGGAAATATTGACATGTTTGGAACATTTTGATCCACTCCCATTCTCACAATAGTTACTAGCTGTCTGTTAGAGAATCAACCACAACACAAGAACACTCATCATCTTGATGTGTTCTTGTGGTTTTTACTTCACCCTACTTTGTAAATTTAATGACGTCATTTCCACTGAAATGCAGGCTGATTTTTCAGGTTTACCCATTGGCCTATGGGACCAAATGTGTTTATCACCAATGTCCTTCAAAGGAGGAGGCTCCATGAGGTGTCTTTAAGATAACATATTTTGTAAGAACCAAACAAAGAGTTGTGCTATTACTAATTGAATTTGAATCATTACCGTCATTATTACATTTTAATAATTTGCTTTTTAATTTCATGTATGCTAAGGGAGGCATTTAATTCATATTTTGAGAAACATCCCATAAACATATTTTTGAGAAATGTAAATGACCAGCAGCAACATATCAAAGCAGTTGCTGTAAGATATTAAAATTAATTCCCTGAGAGTATGTGTTCCTTGTCAAAATAAATGTTTGGATGAAATTGGCTGCAGGCTCAGTCAGTGAGGCGTAACATTATACAAAATGCTGTCTGCCTTGTTCTGAATAGAGATCTCCTTAGACGTCCCACTGTTTCTGTTCATTTCACTCATTTTATTATAATATCTGTGCAGAAACTGTGCAGCATTACCAACTCTGAGATGTTGCAGACACTTGTTCTTCCCCTGACATGTACAGCCTCTTAGGTTATGTAATCTGTGGCTATATTGGTCCTAATGGGAGACGCACCATTAAACACTGTTTGTGTTATTTGACTTATCCTCTTTTATTGCCTAATTAACTAGATCGGGCCACCAAACTGGCAATAATCAACACAGCAAGATCATTAAAACGCATAATTACAAAGAATAAATGCATTTCGCTTAAATGTTTATCTTTTTAAATGACATTTTCAAGCAATGTCCAGCAAATGAACAGTGGTTTATAGGAGCAGTATTCAAATTTGCCTCATCATTACATTACAAGACTGCATCTGACAGGCACATCTGAGAGCATTTATTTTAAGGATTGACCTGCTCCCTGACTGTTACCAAAACATAAGGAGGTCTTTAATCTCTGTACAGTGCTGAGGGGGACTCTGGATGATGCATCTTATTGCCCTGTCTACGTGATTTATCATGGTTCATTCCTCTTCTTCAGTGCCTTAAAATAGATCCTTTGTACAACCCAGGAAACCATAGTCTTTGTTTTGCATAGATATGACCCCATTGTCTTTCTTCTGCATTTCTAATGGTATGTTTTTATCAATGCATGTGTTTACACTTTTTGATAGCTGTTTTTGGATTGTTCTTGTATCTGTTTCTGATCGTGATATTCCCCTCTCTCTGTGTGTTTTTACATTTGAATTCAGCTTCCCTTTGGAGAGGGCCTGTTTCACTTCTATCCTCAAGAGACTTCAAAGAGACGAAGTAAACGCAGCACTCGGATCAAACAGCACCTCCAAACAGACAGAAGGGTGAGTGTTAATTATATCTACTTTCGTCTGAAACAGTAACTTTTCAAACAGAACCCTTTATGGAGGTTTGGAAAGAACTATATTTTACTGTAAAAGGTAGGTAAGATTAACATAAGTGCTTTAGGAAAACAGCAACGCCTTCGTTCTCCAGAAGACAAGACTAATTGTTTAATTTTCAACGCCTCCATTAAAATAGCTTTCAGTTATTAAGCTACTTAAAACACAAAATCATCTATCTCACTCTAGCTGTGCTGCAGTGGCCTGCTTTACCGTCTGATGAGGATGATAATAATTACTGTGGTGCAAATTTACATTAATACATTTATAAGCTCAGTCCAACTTCAACATCCCTGGTTTTCGCTGACTTTATTTTTTACCTATTTCAGAGGAAGAGAAGATGTGTGCCTAAAACCTTTTTAAAGAATTATTTTTGGCTTTAGATTCCTTCTTAGGTAGCTGTGAAAGTTTTTCAGGAAATAAATTTGAGCATTTTAGTTTAGTTTAGTTTTTATTTTTCTTCTGCAGGAACAGAGTTGTTTCTAAGCGTGCCCTTGTTTCCACTGTATGCAGTTTTTCCAGTCTGAAACTGGAAGTTTTCATGTTAGCCATTTTTACAGAGCTTATATAATTCCAGATGAAAAACAGTGAGTAGACAAACCTTTAGGTTTTTGATTTTGCCAAAAGACATTCTTGAGTTCCATCAGATCATGTCATACTCCCCTTTGGCAACAGCAGGGTTTGAGTGACAATTCAATACATTAAATTATAAGCAAGTGTAGGTTTTAAGTAGCTTAGAAAAACATATTTTTACATTTGCACATAGCAAACAGTTAGTAGGAAATACATGCTTTTGGATTTGCTGGTGACCTCTTATACAGTAAATGCCCACTTTGAGTCTATTGAAGGCATGGTTGTACTAAAGCAATAGTCTGTTTGAACGCTGAAAGGTTGTGAATGAATCTGTTTGTTCCGGTGCCATTTGTCTTGTATAACTCTACGTGTTTAGCTTGGTCTATTGTTGGAGGCGGTAAGAGTGGAGGTCCTGCTGCAGACAATCAACTGACCTCTCTAATTATGGCTGTGAGAGGTGCTAATGAAAATAAATGTGAACCACTTCACCGAGCTAATGCAGCTAATGGAAGTGAGACAACACGGACATGCACAGGTCTACATTCCAGATGCTGAGGTTCACTCAGATGTTTAATGTGATTCTATGTGGATACATTGCAATAATTGGTTTCTATGCATCTCTAGACCATTAGGACAGGCTTTTTGTTTCCATTTCTTGCAATCTTTTGAAATTCATGGTGCGAAGTTTAAAAGTTACACTAAAAGCTGTTTTGAATATATTGATTTTTGATCCTTTTATTTATTTTTGTGTTAAAGTGTTAGATTATGACTTGTTGTACTTTTATTCAGAGTAAGAATTGTAACATCATGATGTGTAAATTCAGGGTACTCAATTCACAACTTTGTATAAGAACAGTGAGCCTACTCCCAGGTACAGATTGATAAAGTACATTAAGGCTCTGTAGTTTTTGTGTAAACACAAACATTTCTATAAATGGTGTTGTGGCATTTTGTAAATAAGGTAATTACAACCAGCTGTAGTTTCAGTTTAATTGCTCTTTAGTTCTCGTAAATATCCGTCTTTTCTTTTTTGAAATCGCAAACAATTCCCAACTTTGTACATTAAATAGTAAATACTGGTGTTTTTCATGAAAAGTGTAACAAAAAACAAGAATAGTGAAGGTTCAAAGCTGAAATTACTCATTCCCAAAGTGCCAATGAATAAGAGTGACTCAATGAATATAACTGCTAAATGGTGAAACTAAAAAACATCAAAAAGACAATAAAATCAGATGGCAGAGGGAGAAGAAAATCATGTTCCTTTAAAAAAAAACACTGCTAGATGTCTCTTTCTGTCTGAGTTTTGAAAGGTGGCAATCAGGTTAGTGTATACCTATCTCAAATAAACCCCTGAGCCACCAAGTGAAGTTGTGCCATAGCCATAATGTTTCACTTATGAAAGGGTTTATTGTTTTTTTTCAAGTTCCAGGGTGTGATTGACTGAATGTACTGTATATACAAGGATCCCCAAAAAGATCAATACTCAAATGCTGAATTCAGCTACAATAATATTTTGGCATAGTATCAATACTAAGGACGAGTGTTGTTAGCATATTTTTGTGATTCTGTTGATGTTCCATGATGAGATTGAAGAAGGGGACTTTTTCCAAGTAAAACCTTTTTTCATGTCTTTAATTATTTGTCCTTTTTTATCTGATTGGTATCGAAATGGTCTTGAGTATCTAATATATTCCTAGATATCAATTTGGAGTTTTATATTGTATTATCTTGACAACCCATCGGTATTGTTTTTGACAGCCATCTTAGATTTAGTCTTTGTCTTCAGGACGAAAACTATTATTAGTCTTAGTTGCATTTTAGTCATTACAATATGTGATAGTTTTAGTCAGTTTTAGTTGACTAAAACTTAAAAAGGTTTTAGTCTAGTTTTAGTCAGTTTTATGTTGCAAAAAAAGTTAACCTTTACGATTGCCAATAACAACCAGATTCTTTACCAGACTGACAGCTCTTGCCTAGATACGACAATTGCTGGATGCAAAATGCTGCCGTGCAGTTTATCATTGCTGTTGGGCAGAAAACTTCGATTTATATAATTCAAAAAACCTTTTTTAAGAATTAATGCCCTACTTTATACAAAAGTGTCTCACAAAAGTTGGTTAATATAGCAGACAGGCAAGATAACAAAATGTACAATAAAGGAATGGTATTAGACGTACAAGGTTTCCATCCCTAAGCAAACACTTTCTGATCTACTGTGAATAATGCGTTACACTCAGATAAAATAAACCGTCTTTAATCAAAAAAGCAATGAACAAAAATATTCTTCTTTCTACTTTGGCAATTTTTTGGCAGTGGTCAAAGTAGATTTAAAATCACAGAGAGAACCTACATGTACATAATTGTCTTGTAATGCCATTGCAATCCAGACCTAAATTAAATGAATATGCAAACTAAAATGTTGACATATTCAAAGGAAACATAGAAAATATTTTAATGAAAATACAAGGAAACATTTACATCATAAATGGAAACTACAAAAATGAGAGAGAAATATTTAAAAATCTATGTACATTTTCACCTGGTTCTTTATTAAACAATAAACAGAATGAAATTATATATTTTATCCTTTTGGTAGAAATTAAAGAATTTTTAGTATCACCTCTTGTGAGCTGGAGGAAATAAAATAATAATAATAATAATACAGAGATTTTTTTTCATGTTTGGCAGAGTATGATCAGCCACATATAGTTTATTAAGTAGCTAGAGCAGGAAGAGCCATACTGCTGAGAGCGAACCATCAGTGTGGAGCATGAAGCCCAGACCCAGAGCTCTTTGCGTGGATGGAGATGCATTTCTGCACAAGCACAGATGGAAGATAAGAGCAGAGTTTGTCAGAGTTGAGCACGCAGTACCAGACCACTCCAGGTTATTTTCAGAGACCCTGCCGCTGCTGCCATGATCCATCTGTGCTCCTGCAGCATGTGCAACGCTGCGCGGCAGGTAGGCGGCAGGATCAAACAAGACGTAGCAACACTTAGCAGATTACAGCACGATAATGCAGTTTAAACTTACCAACCGACGACCCGCTAATTTTCATTTAGTCTAATCTCGTCGACTAAAACTCAAACCTATGACTACTCATGTTTTAGTCATCAATGATCCATGTTTAGCTCATCAGTTTTCGTTATCGTCGTAAAAAAAAAGGGAGCATCAAGGAAATTATTTCGTCATCCTAATCGTTGACGAAAACAACTCTGCAACCCATATACACACATAGACAAAATTGTTGGTTGCTTCATTTAATAAAAGAAAAACTTGCAATGGTCACAGAAATAGATTGAATCTGACTAAAGTAATGATGAATATGTTGACACTGCTTTTTCACTATGCTTTATCAGAATATCAATAACATTTTGTTGCACAATCACTTAAGGCAATAATTACAATCTAAATGATTTATCTGTCAACATCATTCAGCAGGTGTTTTGACCCACTTCTCATGAGCAAACTGTTCCAGCTTTCTCTAGTGTGAAGCATCTCTTTTCCAGACATCATGTCTCAACTCCTTCCAAAGATGCTTAATGGGATTTACTTAAGATAAGGTCTCATAGAAGGCCACTTCAGTATAGTCCAACTTTTTCCTCTTGGTTATTCTTGGGTGTTTTTAGGAGTTTCAGATCATTATCCTGTTGCAAGACCCACGGCCTACATCAAACACTGAGCAGCACATTTCTCTCTAGAATCCTGTGATAGTGTTGAGATTTCATTGAACCCTTCAGAGATTTAAGACACCCTGTGCCAGATGGAGCAAAGCAGGCCCAGAACATAATGCAGCCTCCTCCATGTTTCACAGTACTGTTGTTGTCTTGATATGCTTCATTTATTCCATCTGTGAACATAGAGCTTATATGCCTTGGCAAAAATATTCATTTTTGTCTCATTTGTTCATAGAACATTCTGCAAGAAGTCTTGTGGTGTGTAAACATGAGGTTTGACAAAGTCTAGTCTGGCTTTTTTATGATGGATATTTTATAATGAGAAATGGTGTCCTCCTTGGTCATCTCCCATTTAGTCCACGTTTGCTTAATCTATGGATAGTGTGATCTAACACTGATGTGCTTTGATCTTGAAGTTCACCTTCAATATCTTTAGAAGTTTTTTCTGAGCTTTTTTGTTACCATTCTGGTTACTAGTTTCTTTGATCTTGCAGCCATATCCAGGCAGTTTAGCTACAGTCACAGAAGAGCATTAACAAAAACAACTTAATTTGCTCATAATAAGACCTATATAACACAACACACACACTACACAATACCAAAATATTTTGAAAGAACATCAGCAACAATGATATGTACTGAGAGGCTATCATAAAAGCATTAGAAACATTTTTTTTATTGTATTGTGGTAGTTTAACAATAAAAGAAAAAAAATTCTCATTGCAGGACACAGCTATTCATCCACCCCTATTTATCAGGGAAACTTTGGTGTGTTTGTGAAAATAATGGCTGTATATTCTTAGTTGTCTGGATAGAAAATAAGCTATTGTGAAGCAGGTGAATCTGGAAGCCTGAGCTCCACCTGCAAGTGCTTTTATTAGATGGGGTGGAGAATTGATTTGACTGACAACAAGATCTTTTATGATGAAAACACTGTTGGGTTATGTGATTTCCTAAGTTCAGAACAACAGACAATGCAATATTTTCAGAGTTACAAGAAACCTGTCTTTGTTTCTGCTTAAATTTCCCAGCACATCGATTTCATTCTGCTGCTGTTTTTGTATTTTGTTTTTATATCTTGCTTTGTGTTCACTCCTTTCTTGTAATGTGACATTTCTTTGCTTCTTTTTCCTAGGTAAAGAATGTCTTCGAACAGGGAGGTTTCAGTCGTCAGAAGCGAGGATACAGAAATATTAATGATATAGAAGTTAACATGAGTGACCCCCTGTTCACCAAGCAGTGGTATCTGGTGAGTAATCACCCAGCTAGCTGTCTCCATGCTGGCTGACCTTTTGCACCAGCCCACATTCTTCCATGTTAATTACTTGGAATCTTGGCCTTTTACATTCTGTTTTCTGAATCAACATTGATACTCATTTGATAAGCTTAGCCAATTCTGAGATGCCATATCTTTGCATTTGGGTAGCCTTGTTGCCTCTTGATGTGCTTTGCCTAAATGGCAAGTGTGACGTTTATGCAGTTACAACAGTCCCTTCATTTATTTGATGCACAGGAGGAACATGCTGCAACGCTGACATTTATGCCCCCTTCCTTCTTTTAACCTTTGGATTCTCAGCACTGAACTTTTTAAACCAGTGTTAATATCCCTTGCAGCCCATGCAAGCATGCTCTACCATTACTAATATCTTATTGGCTCACCTGGGTACTATGACTAATCAATGTTATCCATACTGTCCATGTGATTAGATAAACACAGGACAGGCAGATGGGACCCCTGGGCTGGACTTAAATGTGGCTGAAGCATGGCAGCTGGGGTACACAGGCAAAGGTGTTACCATCGCAATCATGGATGACGGTGAGCATTAAGTTTGCCTGAAATAATTTTTTGTAGCAAATATTAAGCTTGCATATATCCCCCATTGGTTTAATAAATTAGTAATTGTGCCTTAGATCTGTGTTTTTTTAACAGCTTTTATCCAAAATGTATAGCTCCATTGATTTGAATCTTGTGTAGCTGTACATGTTACTTGATTATAAAAGGAAAGCAGTGAAAAAATAAAATAAAGTCGTACAGTAAAATGTTAACTTTGAAGCTTAACTTGTTACTTTGGTGTAATGAATGTGTGTATAATGTGATGGACAAAAACTGCTAGGACCTTTCAGTATTCATATTTTAATGAGCAACCGTATTTCCTTTTTTTTTTTACCACAAATATTTCTTTGCATTTGACATAAACTTTATAAAGCCTATGTTTTAATTACCACCATTTTTTTGAGTTAACGTTTTTATTATACTCACAGGCAGGTGAGCATAATATTTTGTTTGAATAAAAACAAAGCCCATCTAATTATTTTTTATATTAATAAAGTTATACATTTTATAGCAAACTATCCTTGATTAACTGTATTAATTCCATAATATTCATACAAAAATTTGTCTGATAGGACCTAATTTATCAGCCTATTGGCTGCTCAGAAACAAAAATAGAAAGAGGAAAAGCAGACTATTATGTCCTATTATTTTACTTGATCTAATTGCATCACTTATTAATGTCATATTTCAGGTATAGACTATCTACATCCAGACCTGGCATCAAATTATGTAAGTACCTACCTTTTATTGAATGTTCTAATTTTCTTCCACTGCTTGGAAGAGCTGTTAATAAGTGAAGCTAGCATTCAGGATTTCATGGGTCTTGTGTGACTTCTCATTGGCAATGACAGGTGCTCTCCGAGTTGCCTTCATGGCTGTCGGGTCTCCTTGTATCCCCAGAGGATGCAGAGACAGGCAGACGGCCAGCCAAGCTGTTTAATGTTAATGCACAGTGCGCTGTGGCAGTCGCTGTGGCAGGCCGATCTGTCACAAGTGGAGATAAAGTGGAGTATTCGGTACTGCATAATGTGATTTTTTATCTCTAGAATACTGATAAAACGTTAAAGGACAAGAACGACTGTTTATAAGAACAAAGTTATGAGGATTTAATTTGACTTCTATATTGAACACAGTTCTGTGAGTGAAGGTGGGGAGATTTTTCCTTGTGTTTTGTTTATCTTCATTGATTTTTTATCTTAAAAATCACAATCCCACCATCTTTTCTTAGACTTAAACATATTGCACTCAGAGCCATGTTATGGACATGTTTTGAGCGGTTCAAAAATATATTCCAGACTTTGAAGATCTTGTGTAGCGCCAAGACATGGCAAACTTGCTAAAACATACCCATATCTCACGCCCTAAGGAACAGAGGATTAATCACGTAGCAACGAAGCGGCTCACAGTGTCTCTGGAGGAGCTTTAGAGATCAACAGTTCAGGTGGTAGAAACTGCCAAAAGGGCAAATGTTTGTCAGTTCCACTGCAAATCTGGAATTAATGGCAGAATTTCATGATTTTTCATGAAGTATTGTTCAGTTAAATTATAAGAGGTTTCATTTACAGTTTACGATGAGAAGCAAAATATCACAGAAAACATTTTGAGAAAGTTATCAGAACAAGTTAGAACAAAATAAACTAGTTGGGCCTTCATGCAAAACCCAGGCTGAAGTCTAACCTTCAAGTGAGGCTATTAGGTAAGCTTGGGGTGTGGGGAAAAAAAATTGATTAGGCGATATATCGTTATTTTTCTGCGTCCCGATATAATATAATTTCTTTAGCTTCTAATATCTATCTTTTAAAGAATAAATTTTTCCCTAAAACAATGGGGGGATATGCAATACTTCCGTACTGCTGCTCCGGTAGATGGGGGCTTGGAGCTCTTTTGCTGTGCATACCCTGTATAGTAGAGGCAATTGCAGATGCAGACTGACTTAAACCCCATACAACATGGCTACCAAAATAACTGAATGATCAATATCTTTTAATGAATATACTGAGTAGTATAGCGCAATATAACTTGATATATAAAATATTGTGATGATATCGCATTGTAACCCAATTACGCAATGCATATCGTATCGCAACATGCTTGCCAACACTCAGCTCTAAACTTAATACCTAATTCTTATTGTGAATCCTCTTTTTTTTTTAGCAGGTATAGAAAAGCTTGTCAAAGGTAATAAAACTAGGTGGAGCAAAAAGAAGGGCGATCCTTGATAAAAAAAACAACAACAAAAAAACTGTTAGAAACTAAAAAAATCTGTCTGTCTGTGTATCAATACATATAAATGTATTTAACAAAGGTATATATTAATGTATAGGTGTACACGTAAATTTAAAATACATATCTGTGTGTGGATTTGTCAACATGTTTGCCTGGGTTTGCATGCACCCGCCTGTGAACAAAGATGAGCTGTGGCCCAAAAATAACAGGCAGGCTCAGCTGTGAAGATGCAGGAGCATGCTTCACTAGATTGATGCAACATGCTGTGCTGTAGATCCCTTGTGTGTATGTGGGTGTGTGTGTGTGTGTGTGTCTGCTTGTTTGAGCTAGATGGTGTCCAGAAAAGAATGACACAGCATGACTGATATGGTTTTGTTAACGTTGTCATGGTGTTTTCAAACCTCCTACTGTCAGCTGAATGAGAAATTTCATAAAATATAATTTGAGCTCATCACATCTTTTAGTTCTGTTTAAACTAAATGTGCTTTGGTTATTTCTACACTTCATTTTGTGCTGTGGTGTAACAGTCATGCACAAAATGTTCATAAATTATATTATGGTATGGTAAATTAAGAGTGAAACTGTGTTGAATGCAATGAGAAATTCCTAACATGGTGGTTTCTAATTTCATGGCACATTTACCTGCAAATGCCAACAGCTAAAGTACTGTGACAGTTTTTTAGATAAAATGGATCTCTATTGAATTTAATAACAAACTGATATAACCACCAATGTGTGCGTTTGTTTAATTTCTACATTCATTAGTTTAGATTAGGCAGAGGAGGTACAGTTTGACCTGCTTTCTGCAAAGGACTACGGTTACTCTTTTTATCTTTCTGCTTCCCCTGTCTGATTGATCCTGCTACTGACTACAGTGCTTGGTTTCACAGTAACAGCAGGACTGATAGGTGACCTTTTTTCCCCTTTTGCCTGTTAAATAAAACATGCATGAGAGGAGAAAAGGTGAATTGCGGAGTTTAGAGTCCCCCTCAGAAGGACACTAACTCTGCAAATGGGAAGTTAATGCCTAAAACATATTAAACAATAAAGATAACTGATTTTGTAAGAGAAAGTGGATATTGAAACAAATATATATAACTCCTAAGTATAAAAAAGTATAAAAATGAAGTTATCGGCCATTTTTTATTTGCCATGATAGAAAAAGATAGTCAACCCAGGCTTTATCCAGCAACTAGAAAAAAAGACACAAATAAAAATTGTCAGTGTTTTGAAGGAAATAGAAAGGGTTCCATCTTGAGATTTTTTCCCCCTCTGTGGTAAAAGATGGGCTCTGATGTGCCATGCAATCCAATGATAAATAAGTCATTATTAATTTGGTAGACACAATTAGTCACTTTTTAAATTAGTTTTGTGCTGAATATTACACAAACTTATCCTTTTATAGCTCATAACAGTAAGAGGAGATATCACTTATTAATGTCCAATGCCATTTAACGCTAAAATAATATGAAAATAGAGTAGAAGTTTGCAGGTAATTACATTGAAATACATTTTAATAACTGAGACTAGCCTGAAATCAAGGAATATGCTACCTTAGATATTCTGTTATATCACTGACCAGAATTTATTAACCCAGGAAGACATTTCTGTAACAAATAACCTAAATTAATTTATTAGGCATCATTAAGCAAAGCAAAATTATACACCTTTAAATAATATAGGGTGACTTTAAACTTAAAGATCACGAATTGGAGCTTGTGATAAGTATTAGGGTTATTCCTATTAAAGGGACACTATGCAACATTTTTCAGTTAATTAATGTGTTCCATAACGTT